TATACCTTTAAGCTTATATAAAAAACCTAGTTTTTCTTATACTAACTAGCTTATTAGAACGTCTTTTAGTATTTAGTTATCTAGCATAATACGTACGTAAAGAAAGATAAAAAGGCTTAATATTAAGCTATTAAGACTATTAAAAAAAAGGTTAAAGTTAATAATAATATTCTTTATTATAGTAAGCCTTAAGCTTATGCTTAAAAGCACTATTAGTATTGCTAATAAGCGCGTATTTTATATGTATTACACTAAAGATTTAATAGCCTAATAAGCTATACTTTTATTATTCTAAAAGATACCAAAATTTATATTTAGTAGCTATTTTTTTTTTATTTTTCGGTTTTTTTTTTACATTTTTTATTTTATTCTTCTTAACTAACGTTTAGCACTTACGCTATATTAGTTAGCTTTACTATACTACTAATGTACTTAGAGTAAAGGTTATAACCTTTAAAAAACCCTTTAAGAAGTCTAAGTAGTAAGATTTTACTAATTAAAGTTATTTAGTAAGTATAGCTTCTTCTTTAGTTAATGTTAGTACTATAGTTAGTAGGTTTTTATAAAAAGTTAGAGTCTTATATACTATTGCTTATTTTAGCTTTATTAGCCTAATCTTACTCCTTTTAATCTACTTTATTATTAATGTATTAAAAACGTTCTACTATACTATTAGCTTTATACTAAAGAAGGCTTTTTTATATTATATAAAGTAGCGTTTTTAATTAGTATGCAGCAGTCTATAATTTACTAACCTCTTTAGCGGTTATAAAGAGTATATAGCGCGCTCTTTATAAAAGGCTTATATAAGGACATTACTTTAGTATTAAAAGCAACTTTCTTTCTTAAGCTTTAACGTTTAGCAAGAAAATCTTTACTATATAGTAAGCAGCAGCGCTAAGGATAGTTAGTAGTAAAGTAACTAGTTTAACTACACTAGTAGCACTAGGCTGCTTTTTATAACGTAACTACTATTATACCTTCCTTTTTTTTAGCTTACTAATTAAACTCTTTAGTACTAAATAGCGTTAGTACCTTTATACTAATTGAATTCATAAAGAGTATACCTTATAAGCTAAAAAGACTAAACATTATAGTAATCTCATAATAATAGTCTATTAAATTTATATAAAGCTCTTTTATTTAAAGGCTATATATTAATCAACTATAAAGGTTAGTCTATAAAGAAGGTATATATTTTAAAGCATTTTAATCTACTTAAAATAATATATCTTTTATATTAGCTAAATAAACTAATAGTAGCTTAAGCATTAAAGGCATAAAAGTAAGCTAATTATACTATTTATTAATATATTTAATTAAGCCTTTTTTATTAAGTATTAAGTTTATTATACAATCTTGCTTTTAAATATACTACTTAAAGCTGCTTTTTAATATTACTACAAAGACAAAGTAATACTATTTAGCGCTTTAAGGCTAGCTGTATAAGTAAGAAAAAGGTTGTATACAGCTAACGCTTATATATATATACTACTTTATAATAATAATTTACTATTAAAGCAATTCGCTCTAAATCTTTTTTAGCTTTATATATAGCTTTAAGTTATTAGTCTAATTAAAAAAGAGTAAGGTAAGCTTTTTTTAATTTATTATTAGTAGAGTAATTTAAGGCTTGCCTTAAAAGGCGTACTAAAGTAAAGAAAAGATAGCGTATACTAGTTGCTTACTAAGTGTACGCTTATAGCTAGGCTAGTATTAGTACTCTTAAAAGTATTAGTATTTAAAAGTAAAGTCCTTTGCTATTAACGTTATTATCTACGCTGCTTACGCTGCTATTCCTTCAACTATATAACTTAATAATATTACTAGGTATACCTAAGGTAGCTTATAGCAAGCTTTTAAATAGTCTTATTATTAGTAGTAAAGAAGGTGTAGCAAGAAGGGTCTAAGCAAAGAGGTTAATAGTGCTAGGCTTAGTAAATAACTGTTTAAATTATTATTAAGGCTAAAAAAGAAAAGGCAAGTACCGGCAAAGGCAGCGCTTAAGCAAGTAGCGCTAGTACTAGCAGCGCTAGTGCCGTTAAGGCCGGTACAGCCTACGCTGTTATTAAGGCTAGAAGCTGCTATAAAAGAGCTTTTTAATACGTATAGTAATTTGTTAGCAGCTACGTTTTAAGTTCTTATTTCGTCCTTTAAAGACTAAAGACAAGCCTCTTAGTCTAATAGTCGGCTAAGGTACTCCAAAAGCTAGCCTAAGAGCTAGGGACTAAAGAACTTAAGGGTAACTCTAATTATAATATTGCTATTACCTTTATTGCTTAGTCTAAAGGTCCAAGGCTTAGCAGCGGCAGCTTTTCTAGGCAGCATAACAGCAAAAAAGGGTTTAAACAAATCGTATTAAATTCAAACAAATTGTATAGATGCCAAATTTGCTAGAAAAGAAGCAGCAAACTCGTATTTTACCAATTAAGCAGTAGATCTTATATCTAGTAGATACTAGTATTAAAAATCGATTTTTTATAGCTTCTACTCTATACACCACTAGTTTATAAGTAAGACTATAAGGATTTAGGCCACCCTCTTATTTAGGCCACCCAAAAATTATAATAATCTAATAGCATTAAAAAAATACAAAAATAAAAACAATTATAGCAATTAAAATACCTAACTAAATTATACAAATTATCTATCATCTAAAAGCTCTTCTTTAAAGCTATCGCCTACTGTAATTACTTCTCTTCCTATAGCGGCCTAGCTATTCTATATATTCTTAATTATAGCAAATTTTAAATTCAAGCTTATAACTACAGCCTTTCTTTTCTAAAGCTATAGGCTTTTAATTGTTGCCTTTAATACTTTTTTTTTTTGCTTAAATAAAGTACTTTTAACTACCTTTTTATTAAATGCTTTTTAAAGCTTTTAAAATAAAAGCTGCTTTAAAGATAATATAGAATGTAATTACTAATATTTAGCTAGTTAGCTAGTTAAATTGTTTCTCTTTCTAAGAGTAGTCTATATAATTATAATAGCTTAAAAAGTAGTATCTTTTAAAGCTATAGTTTTATTAATTTTAATAACATTAAAATTATTTAGTATAAATAGCTAGTTGTTAAGATTTAGTAAGATAAAAAGGCTTATTAATAAATAAAGCTTATTAATTAGCTATAAACTAGTAGTACGCTACTTACTTTAAATGTTTTTTATAAAAAGTGCTTTATTTTACGTTATTTTATAAGCTTATAAGAAAGCTTACTTATTAATAATTATTTTTATATTACTATTTTTTACTAAGCCAGCTTTATTTTTAATACTTATAAAAAAAGATTAATGAAATTAAATAGTTAAAAAAATAGTAAAATATATAGAAAGGTAGATAAATTAAGTAAATATTATACTAAAAGTATAGATTTATAAATATATTTATCTTATAGCTTTTATTAGCTATCTACTACTAATAATCTTATATTAAAAAAATAATATTTAAAGCTATTTATAAAAATAAAAAACCTTTTTTTAACTATTTCTAACCTTTATTTTATTTATACTTTAGCCTTTATTAGTAGCTATAAATTACTAGTCTTTATATTAATTTAATTTAAAACTAAACTACTACTACTATACCTTTTTACCCTTAAAAATAATTAAAGAAAAGATGCTAAAACTACTAGTAAAGATACACTTTATATATAAAGTCTATAAGTAATAACTAACGTTCTTTTTTAAATTATAGCTATATTTTATCTTTTAAGCACTTATTAAAAGTCTTCTTTACTTTAAGCTAGCCTAGTTTTATTTATATTTTATTTATTTTATAGTTTTATTAATACTATAGTAAAAACTAAAAGCTAATAAAACTATATACTAATTATATTAATTATAGCTTTATTTAAACACTTAAAATTAAAAAATTTTTTTTTTTAAACTTAAATTTTAAGATTTCGCTTTAAAAAGCATATAGCTAGTATTACCTAAGTAGTTTTACGTCTTTATTACTAAGCATTATAGCTTAAGCTATAGCCTTAACTTAAAAGTAAGTAAAAAGCACTCTAATAAAGCCTTAAATATAAATCTAATACGTTAAATGCTCTTCTTAAACTCTAAAAAGCCTTTACTAATCTTAATAAGCATTATAGTAATTTTAGTAGCTAAGTAATTAATACTAAAGCGTTAATCATAGTAAGCCGTATTTAATAGCTACTTTTTAAAGAGATACGCCATTATTAAGCGATTTAAGCACGTTAGCAATTTTTTTTTTAGTATACTAGCGCATAATAGTCTAATAAATACTATTAGTAAAAAAGGAGGTAATTGGAGTGATTTTAGTAGACGTACGACGTGTTGAAGTTTGTAAAATAGTATTGTGTATTAGGATAAAATTGGGTGGCCTAAATAGGGGGGGTGGCCCCAAATCCCCCATGGTCCCACTTACGCGCAGTCGTCTGCGCGAATACTAGTGTAAGACCCGTACGGTAATCCTTATAGGATATTCGTCCGGACAAGTTGCACGTATCATAGTAAGCTCTAAGGCCTTTAGAAGATCTAGTGATGATATTTTGTTGGGTGGTTGACTGAAGAGCAGACTGTGCGCAATGTGCGCGCAGATTAGGGCTTCGTCTTATCTAGTGATTTCGGCGGCCGAGGTTAAGTTAGGTGACCTTGGGAAATCTACATTACGGAGTACTTTAGGCAAAAATAAGGCTCCTCGAAACAGTTAGGCTTGGACTTTGCTGAGATACCAATCGCACGTATACGAGTTCTCCGTACTTTATACTTTATACTTCGTACTAGATGCACAGCCTATTTAGCTTTTGTTTTACATTAACTGAAACCCTAATAAGATGGTGTCGCTTGACCCTTAAAAAGTTTTCAATACAGTATCCTAGAAACCTTCAAACCAAGACTGTACGTCCCAGGTGAAGGCCGAGTAAAGTAAACCATTTGCCATTTGACTGAGGATATTACAAGAAAGCAGAACCGATTCAGGAAAAGGAAATCATAGTGACCTGTTCATTCCTCATGCTGTACAATAGCAATAACCTTTACCCGCTGGTATCGTCTCGCCCACTTCTCCTGTCCCTCTCATTTCGGCGATTTATCTCAGCTTCTTGCTCGCGTAACCGGCGTACGGCCTCGTTCCGATCCATAGTACGTCCCTCTCTCTCGAGTTTGAGCTTGTTCTCTAAGATCCCCGTAAAACGGAGGATCCCCCGCGGATCAGCGCCATATCCATCGCTTCCAGAGCCCGCATCACCTGCTGCATCATGAAGCGCCAGCTCACCGGCCGTCATCGGCCGCGATGATGTGGTCGGTCGGGGCACACCGCTCCGGCTACCTGTCTTCGGACGAAGAGAGCCTCCGGCTTTAGTACGTTCGCGAGGCCCGGTTGGAATCGACGGCGATGGTGACCCAGTAAGGCCAGGATCATTGTCAAGGCCCCCATCTGCCGACGAATATGCAGCCCTGACGCGCACCTCGTTCGCCGTCCGCAGGGTTGTATTTTCCACCTTCAGTTGTCGATAAGCGTCCTCCTTTCTCATCATGCGGTTTTGGAGCTCAGTGCTGCTAAAAGTTCCCGAGGCAAGACCGCTGCGAACGATGCCCTCCAGGCGGTCCAGCTTCTTGATGCGCATCTCAAGACTGTTTTCCAAATTGTGGTATTCACGCCAGAGGTCTTTTTCGACGCCCTTGATACGGCCTTTAAACCCACTGATGATGGACTCAATATGCTTGATGGCAGCCACAAGGTTCCTGCTAAAGCCTGGGAGCATCGTTGCAACAGCTTCCAGGCTGGGCAGGGGCCCCGTCCATTGATAAGGCTATTGTCGTGTGCCCAGTCAGACCCACAAAGGGCAGATAGCCGGGTCCACAAAACAAGTAGAAGATTGTTCCGTTCGTTGAGCTGCTCCTTGAAAGTGATTTCCAGCTGAGAGATGCGTCGCTTGTCTTGCGACTTGGTCGTTTCGAGTTCGACAATTCGTGCATCCTGACTCGACACAGTCCGAGAGACATGTTGATGTGTTTTCTGAAATGTCTCAAATTGGTGTTTTGTGTTTCGGTGAACTGCACGCTCTTTGTCAAGCGCCTCAGCAACCTTGCGAGCCTCGAGACCATGGGACTCTAGTAGAGCGTCACGTTGCTTGATTAGGCGGTCTTTTTCCATTGCAGATGCCTTTGTTGCGTCGAGTTCACGAACAGTGTTTTCCAGCTCGCGTTGAAGCTTGGCGATAGACTAATAAGAGTACAACGTCAGATCAGGACTTGAAAATGGGAAGGGCGGAGAGTTGCACCGAAGACTGTACTTACTTTCAAAAGACTGGATCGAGTCCCACTCAGATCGCCGAGTGCTTCTCTCAGATTGTTCTCCAACTCCATCAGTCTTTCCTTCCACTCCGTTGCTTCCACCTCACGAGAGGTGAGGCTTTTTCGTAGTTTCCTTGCCTCCTCTTTTGCATTTGAGGCTTCACGACTGAGCTCGTTGACAAAGTGCTGCATCTCCTTCTTGTCCTTAGTGGCAAGGCTCTCGCTCTGCTCCCGTTCTGTGATGATTTGTGCTTGAAGCTGCTTCACCCGTTCTTGTTCATCACGGTGTAGCTCCTCGGCTTTTGTGACATTGACCTCTAATCGACTGATGGTAATTTTGTCGCTCTCTTGCTCTTCTCGAAGGAAGGCAATCTCGCCCTGGCTGTTTTCCTGTTGCACGAGAAGTCGTGGGGCTTTGTCGTTGGATTCGAGTAGTTTGCTTTCAAGCTCCTCCAGTTCCTTGTTCGCATCGCCAAGTTCCTGCTCAAGATGTTGGATGCGGTGTACTTTATCGTTTGTTTCATCTTCGAGACCGACAAGAGCCTCGCTTAGCTTGCGCATCTCTTCTTGCAGAGCGGTGAAGTTTTCCGTTCGCTCAGTCAACTCTGCCTGCAGCCTCTGCGTTTCAGCATCGCGTAAATCAGCTTCATCTTCATAGCCATCAATTGCCTCTTGCGCCTCGGCCCGCAAGTCTTCGAACTCGCCCTGCAGGCCGTTTTGCTTCTGTTCTAGGTCGTTCAGCTCTGTGATCAGCTCGTCACGCTCGGCTTGCATTGCCATCAAGTCTGCCATTGCATTCTCGTAGTCCCTTTGCAATGCCAGAGCCACGTCGTCTGTTTCTTGCTTCTGCTGTAGGACCGTGTCCAGCTCTTGCAACAGTGTCTGATTTTCAAGCTTTACCTCGTTAATCTTGTCGCGCAGGGTGGCATTTTTGTTTTCAAGATCCTCACGCTCTTGATCTCCGACTACCGTTTCGGCCCTTGTATCACCGCTCGTTCGAGATGCGGACCGTTCGCGAGCACCAATTTGAGAAGCCGACCGGTCCAGAAAACTGTCCACTGTAGATGGCGCTGGGCCCCCACCCCTACGCTGGGCCATCTTCAGGTCTTCAATTTCCAAGTAAAGACGTTCCTTTTCCTTGTTGCGTGACGTCAACATCGATGTTTGCGCTCCGACTTCTTTGCGTAGCTCTGCATTTTCGTGTCGCAGCTGCTCGCTCTCTCGTCGAAGCTCCTCGACAAGTGTGTCAGCACCACTCGTTGTGCTTCCCATGGTGTCCGCGTGGGCACTTGAAAACTGTGCTTGTGGCTCGTTGCTTGGCTTCTTGTACATGCTGTATATGCTTGTGGAGCGGTGAAGGTTTCCGCTACCATTGTTGCCTGCGATGTGGAAGTCTTGCTTCAAGCGAAAAATGTCATCCCGCAACTTCCTATTCTCTTCATCGGCCTGCTCCCGCCTTCCTGTTTCCTGCTCAAGTAAATCTTTCCAGACGTCTTCTTCTTCTTGTCGACCCAAACTATCACCGACGTTCTTTTCGCCGATCGATTGTAAAGACTTGACTAGGTCAGCCATACGCCGCTTGTCTGTTTCCTGTGAAAAGAGGTCTGCGCGAAGCCGTTCGATTACTGTAGTATACTCCTCGACACGCTCGCGTAGATATGTGATTTCCTCCTCTTTATCCTGCAAATCAGCATCTAGAGCATCCGCCTGGCCACTAGACGAAGTCGCACTTCGTGACGTGCCGGGCCTATCATTCTCATCTTGAATTTTTTTCTCCAACTCTTTGACACGACGTCGCAGCGCCTTGTTGTCCCGCTGCATGACAGCAATATTGGTACGGAATTCAACGTTCTCTTGAATCATTTCTTTAATGCCGTCCTCTGATAATTTGTCCAGCCGGTCACTCAGAAACATGACTTTGAGCTTTAGGTCAAAGTTTTCTTTGGATAATCGTTCGATCGTGCTGCTCTGCTCTTTCAACGTCATATTTCGTCCCGGTCGCTGCGCACCACCCACGCCGAAGTCCTTCCTAGGTGTCGTGAGACCGCCCTTCGATTTGTATTCTCTTGCCAACGATTCCGGAACTTGGACATCCATAACACGACGTGCTAGGACGGTGTCCGTAGGTGGTGCCAAAGGCTGCTTCGCTTTGGGGGTTTGCATATATTCATCGCCTCTTCCTGAAGTCGTGACTTTTTGGTTTCCAGCTCCAGCCAAGGCCTCCAGATGGTCGGCGGAATTCTGGAAGCCGTCTACAGTCGAAGCCACACTCATGATACTGGCAGAGCGTGAAAGTGCATCGCTCGCACTATGTTTTGTGTACAGCGTAGACACCGCGCCCCCTGACTGTAGAGCGTAGTCCGTTCCGAGACCGATGGTGACATCGCTATCGACATCATCGTGAGAATCCGGATTGGTTACAGATGATGCAGAAGACCTCTGACTTGCATTCCGACTCTTGAGGAATCTTGGGCGTTTCCCAAAGCGAAGTCCGCTGCTCGTCCCATCTTGCGATATGCCCCGTTCTGAGTCGGGATTCTGGCTATTATGTTGCGGGAACACCGATGAAGCATTATGTAGTGATGGACTTGTCGGGTTTTGTTGACTAGTGGAACTTTCCTTCGGTCTATCCTCATACGCACACGAAGAGTTCTCCGAAGCGCGCTCTATGTTGTTATCTGAGCTAGAGACTGCTGGGATTTGGGACGGTGCTGGAACAGAAAACGCCGGCTGCTGGGGAGACGTGTTATGTCTGAGAATATCATTCTCTGAGGTGCCCTCACTTTTCGTCGCCGTCGGTTTTTGCGGTACATTAAAAAAGTGCGTGTCGTCAGGCCCATCTTTGACAATCGTCGGCATTGGCGAGATGGGGACAACGAAACTTGATTCGATATCGGGCAGGGTCTCGTTCAAAATATGGTCGCGGGATAGCTGAGATGGTTTTTCGATTTTCAGGTCCAAGTTTTCCAACAGACTACTATCGGGATCATTGGTCGAAGGGATAGTGGTTGTTTTTTATTCGTGCTGGAATGACGATCGAGACTGGCTTCGATGAGGGGGAGAGAGATCGAGAGGCATTGTCGTGGCAGACATACTCCCGAATGAATTATCATCGCTTCTCTGTCTATGTAGAGATGTCTCTAGAAAAAAAGTATCCCGGTCCCTCACTGTAGTGCCGAAATTCCATTTTCTTTGCCACTGCTCACAGCCGTGCGGCTGCCCGTTGTGCAGAGGAAGGCTCGTCGCGGCGAGTCGTAAATAGAATGTCGCGAGAGGTGCGACCGGTTCCAAGTCGCAAGTCGCAAGTCGCAAGTCGCAAATCTGCGGACTCAGCAGCTTGTAGTGGATTTAAAGTTACGTCGGATTGCCGTAGAGCACAGCTCTAGACGTAACTCTTGCTGCGTGGTCAGACGCGGCTATAGTTCGACTGCGAAACCTCTTCGTGAGTGAATAGGATTAGGTAAGATATATATTAAAGTATAAGCCCTGAGGTCATTGAGTAATACATAGTTCCGGGTACGGAAGGGCAAGTGCAGCCGCGTTGCTATGGTAGCAAACTGGCAGCTGTAGAAAATATTGCTGGGAGAAAAGGGTGTCGGAGCAACGATAAGATAGTTTGCTATTGATTAGTAAGAAATGCTGTAATCAAGAGCATGTGATGGTGTCCATGTACGGAGTACTCGTGCTACACCCCACTATATAATTCGCTTAAAACGCGCACCTATGGTAGTGACGATACGGAGTATTTCGTAGGTGGCTGAGGCTACGACTCCGTAGACTGCGTGCGCGCGCAGATCAGGGCTTAGTCTGGTGATTCCGGGCGGAGGCCAAGTGACCTAAGGGAATCTAAACGCGTGCGCGCTCTTTCTCTTTTTCTTTCGTTTGCTAGATTAAGTCTCCTTACTCCGTACTCCATACTTCTGTTAGAAAACAGTGTTATCATATTATAGACTGAGGAGAACGTCACATAAGATTATAAACTGATGCGTTTATGAACAATGCCTACCTCCGTACGGAGTACTAAGGGCTATTAGTCATCAATAAAGCCTTGGTACTATGTCTCAGACCTGAGGGCTGCAGGTCCGCCACGGAAACTGGGTTCTCCGAATACGTCATGGCTATCATGTAGCTATGATGCAATACTTGCTTTCGTCAACCACTAAGGATTATAAATAGGTGTTGGTCGTACCCAAGAACGCAACATATCTATATAACTTCTTTACTTATCATCTCAAAATACTATATTTCGCACAGTAACCCGCATTTACTCTACATTACCATGGCATCCGAGCAGCAATCCCAACAGGCGACGGGCCATTACCCCTCCCAGGACCCTGGATAAAAGGACCGTTCCGGGGTCAAGGCTTTCGTCTTCATTTCTAAAAAGTCTGGTCATTCCGTTGACCGCAACACGAGCGAGAAAATTACCGATGGTGCTCGCTCTGCCTTCGAAAAGGCGACGGGGTATGTAATTTCACTTAACGTTTCCTATTCCCATTTCTTACTAACCAATAATATCCTAATAGTAAGAAGGTTGACCCGAAATATTCGAATTAAAAGAGGATCGGCAATTCTCTATTATAAATCAACTCACACCCATCATGTCATAGCAAGGTTTAGTCTTGACTTAGTCAACAGGAAGATCTTGCTACTATTGCAAATAAAATTATGTGGCTGCAAATTTTCTCCGATGGCTGCTCGTAATCAAGGTGCAACGAATGAACGCGATTTAATGTCGTCCTTTCAGCTTGTTTACCTGTTGAGGTGGGCTTCACAAGAGTATTTTGACATATAAGTCAAGACTGGAGTCAAAATACCTCGTAGCAAGTAGCAAAAAGCAAAACAACTGGCAGCTAAAATTGGCCTACCCCAAATTCAAACACGGGTACATTCTTTCCAGTACTCCAGCAGTATTCTGTAGTATTTTTTTATGATTTTGAGATCCAGCTTAATGGCTATCCATAAGGTCACCTACCTAAGCCTAGCGTATTCCGCCTTTCCTCAGATATATAAACATACTGCCTTTACGCAGCACCCTGTCTGCCCATCCCTCCCCCCCTTTGCTGTTTTCAGCGACTTTAACTTACGGCTAGATGTGTCACAATAGCCAAGAAAAATAAACTTCATAATTCCGAACCAGTCGACAAAACGGCTGTCCATTAGCACACTAAGCATCCATTTCACGAGTTGAGTATCATTGCATTCTCTTATGATAAATGGTAGGCTTGTGCTTCATTCGAATGTAAGATAATGTGCACTGAATTTTGTTTTTCGTCAATGTTTGAAAGAGACGTAGTACTGTACTACTTCCTTAGTATCACGCCTTTAACAACAGCGTAATAAGCATTGGAATAAAGAAAACTGCTAAAATTTGCCTACACAGAGCACATCAAACTGAAAAGAAGCAGTCAGATTACTCTTCTACCCATTCATTAAGTCTGTGATCGTTTAGCGCTATAACGTATACAAAGGGGTAAGAAACTCGAAGTCTGCCGGTACTTGAGGTTTCTTTGGTACCGAAGACAGGGCGGTCCCGTTGTTCATTACAACGATCGGTGACACTAAAAGCTTTTCTAATTCGATGCGTTATTTTAGCCTCCTGTTGCAACATCTCGCTAAATTTCTCACTCGATTAATGCTTAGATCGTCTATGGCAGAAAACATCTCCTCTTAGCTCCAGTATATCGGCGAAGGGAATATAATATATTGCTATTAACTAACAGTTTACCACCACTAAAAAGAGGAAGAAGTGTCGGACGAGACGATAGAGGCAATGGTGCAATAAAGACACACTGTTAGATTTGTAGGTTAGGCTTGTGACAAATGTCGCCTAAAAGGGAGCTGTTGGCAACAAAGACGCCATACATATAGGGTTTGGTTTTTAGATGAAATATTTCTAATTTTAGGTTAAAGCTCGCTTTAACTTTTGCGCGCTGCGCCTTTAACAACAGCGGACAACCTCGACGTGCTACTTAAAATAATGTAAGGGTTGGTGTGCAATGCGTGGTCACGAAGGCTTAACTGGTTTGTACTGTTGTATTAAGACTTCAACTTAACGAACTATAGGAGACCGGTAGGCGAAGGCCTGCCAGCTAATTTATACGTGGCTGGAAGATGCGGTGTAGCGCAACCCTAGTAGGGCGTGGCACAGCTAAGTGGCTGTGCCAGTCCCGTGCAACGTGTTAAGATAGTTCGTTAAGTCCGTCGCTTGGTAAGCGACTGGTTGCCGAACCGGTGCGTAGGGACGCGTGTGTAGAATACCTTTACACTATCCCCCCCCCCCCTAGGTGACGCCCCCGTCAGCCTAAAGGTGCACACGCGGCAGCCACTTGCTCGTTAAAAAACCTCTCTTTATAGAGTTAGGAAAAAGAGTTAAGCGCTCCGGGTTATTGGCTGTCGCCAAGCGGTCGCGGACCGCTTGCTTGTACGACTGCATTTGGGTAACGTGGAAGCGTACACGTACTGCTTAGTCTATAGCGGCAGTAAACGCCGGATCCTGCCTAATATACAGGTCGTCCTGTTCGTTAGAGCTCTCTAGGAAGCGTGCAGCTTAGATCCTAGTCGGGGAACGCTTAAGTTGCCGCTAATAAGTGTTATAAGAGAGCTAGCCTTAAACACTAGGTATATAAAAGTATAGTATACGCTAACTAAAAACGGCAGCGTAAGGCTTGTAACTTTTAACTGCTAGCAAGGTAAGATAAAGGTAATAGTAGCTGTTTATTGCTTGTTAATTATAAAACTATTACTTACTAAATAGTAAAGGTAGTTTACTACTAAGACGTCTTTTTATTTAATTTTAGACGTTTCTTACCTTATTATTAAAGTAAGATTAGGTAAGTTCTTAAGATGCATTTAAACGTTTAATAACGTAGCTTTTTTATTACTTTAAAGTAATAAAAAAATTGCAATATTTTATAATTTAAGATAAATTTATTTATACTTATAAAACTACTCTTACCTTTTTTGCTTTTTTTTTTTTTAATCTTACTTATATAGTAAGTTGATATAATAGTTTATAACTTTATATAGTAAGTAGCTAATAATTGCTTATAAATAATATTTAACTAAAGCTACTTTTAAGTTTTAATAGACTTTTTTTATTAAAGGTATACTTAAGTAGGCTTGGTAAGTTAAATAAGTAAGAAAGTATCTTTTTAATAAGAGAAAGTAGCTATATATTTAATAGCTAATTCTTGCCTTTTATACTTTAAAAGAGTGCAAAAGGCGCTCTTTATTATAGGCGCACCTTTAGCGCACTAAGTGCGTAAGATAGGCGCTACCTTATTTCTACTTAGCCTATATACTAGCACATGCTATAGCCTATGCGTAGACTGCGCTACACAGCCTACGCTACAAGCACTACTTCTAGTTTACAATATACATTTAATACGCTATGCGCATACTGCGTACAGCTTGCGCGTCCCCTGCGTCGGTCCCCTTCTTAAGGCAGCGTTATAATTGCTCTCTTCTTATTGTTAAAGGTGTACTTGGGTAGGCCAGGTAAGTCAGGCAGGCAAGGAGGTATCTTCTTAACAGGAGGAAGCAGCCGTATATTCAATAGCTAATTCTTGCCTTCTGCACTCTAAGGGAGTGCGGGAGGCACTCTTTATCGTAGGCGCACCTCTGGCGCACCAAGTGCGCAGGACAGGCGCGACCCCGTTTCTACTTGGCCCGTGCGCTAGCACGTGCTGTGGCCTGTGCGCAGACTGCGCCACGCAGCCTGCGCCACTAGCACCGCTTCTAGTTCACGATGTGCATCTAATACGCTGTGCGCATACTGCGTACGGCTTGCGCGTAGCCTGCGTCGGTCCCCTTCCTGGGGCGGCGTTACACCTATTATCTACTTATAGAATAATATT